ATGTGTGAACTTCCAGCTCCTATATTTCCCTAGCCAGCATGCTAGAGTTGAAGTCCACACAATCTCAATTGGCCAAGATTGAAAAGATTGCTCTAGTGGACTTGAAAATGTTTCCAAGTATGGAATTTTTTCCAGCTTTCTTTCGACTCTTTCAGCGAGGATGACAAAGGATACATACCATCCTGAACTTCAAGATTTCATGGCTGAAGTGGGTCATCTGGAGAAGTGGAATAAAGATGAAGCAAGCTCATATGGTTTTTGTTACTGAGGAAACAAAATGTAGAATACTGTAGAATAATATATACCCAAGGGCATAGTATTCTTGTGTGAAAAGAAAGCTAGAATTACAGCTGAGAAATGCTGTTACCCAGTGTTAAGTCCAAAGGGGGCACATGGTTAGGCTGATGGGAATTGTAGTACTGATGTGTTAAGGTATTTAGATTTAAGAGCTGACCAGTTGCTGTAATGCTGATGCAATGTAAGGCTGATTGCAATAAGAATGAATCAGCATAGCATAGGTATTGACCTTTTAAGATGAAGTATGGATCCACAGAAATCTTTACCTTTTAAAGAGGTGTCTATATAAAGGCAGCCATTAGAGCGCATGCTTTCTCTCTTTGTGTCCTGTCTTCATTGTAGAGTTCTCTGTGTAGAGTTAAGAAGATTGATTGCTTGTCAGGTATTTGCCTACCATGTATACTTCTGTATATGTTTCATATATAAACCACTGTTAAATGTTTAAGTCTCTGTGTGCTGTGTTTCTCCTCCACGCTGCTATGAGAGTCCAGGACTTTTGGGGGAGAGAGAGACCATGAAGTTTGTAGTTGCATCATGGAACCTCAATTGCCAGTGATGTTTGAATAAACTCTCAATTAAAACACTGGGAGACAACAGATATTGGTGCCATGTTGATTTCCAGTGTCAAAAGTGAAAGTTCTGATTGAAAGCTTTTTTCCTTCAAAAACCTCCCTTCACTAATTTTGGTTTCCATTTCTGAAGTGGTGTTTTTTTTCCTGGTTATATTTAAGGATTCTTCATTCAAATGGTCTCTTACTAAAGAACACCCATCAAGCTCCAGGGATGGGGTTGCCAGCTAATTTTATAAACAGCAGAGGGAAGTAGAGATTCTTCCTGATTGTAGCTTAAAAAAGCTGTTAATTTGAAAAATGGCTTCATGTTACTCTTTTTGTTGTAATGTTCTCTTTATTAAACCTTTCCCTCTTCTGTTCCTCCCCTGCATTTTTTTTTACCAAACAGTTTAGTTCAGGGGTGTCAAAACATGGCAACTTTTAAGACTTTCGGATTTCAATTCCCAGAATTCCCCAGCCAATATTCTTCAAACTTGGCAACTTTAAGACTTGTGGACTTCAACTCCCAGAATTCCCCAGCCAGCCAAGTCTTAAAATTGCCAAATTTGGAGACCCCTGGTTTCGTGGTTAGGGGTTTCTCGTATATTGTTGACATACTGAGTTAGAAATCAATTAAAATAGTCTTTTCTACTGTCCTGACTTAATTGCTCCCGAAGATCAGAAAAAGAGGCACTGAGTAAGCCATAACCGTGTGTACAAGAGAATTCCCTTAAAGGTTAAGTTATCCAGGCAAATGCCATATTCTTGAAGTTCTCTTGGCATTTCTGTGAATGACCTTCTCTCCTCCCAAAGTATTTGATTATTGCTTAAGAAAAACTGATTAAGGAGAACCTGCAGAAGTGTTTAGGAGTAGTTTTTCTAAATGTTACCTTTGCCCTTTGAATATGGAAGGTTTCTACAGCTCCATTTTTTGGTGTCTCGGCAAACTTTCTGGGAAATAAGAGAGAGCAACTTTGCTCTCTCTTTATTTCCCAGAAAGTTTGCCGAGACCTTTTGGCTGAAGTTTCCGACTCCAAAATATGCCTTTATACACAATGCCTTGGTAAGGCCACTCTTGGAATAATACTGCTTCCAGTTTTGGTCACCATCCAAGACATTAAAAAAAACCCTTTGAGACTCTAGACCAGGGGTATCAAACTCGATTTCATTGAGGGCCGCATCAGGGTCATGTTTGATCTCGGAGGGCCGGGGGCTGAGGGCGTGGCTATGGTGGCCAGTTGGATATCACTCATGTCGGGGGGAACCTGTGGTGGCCAAATGCTAAGGCAAGACTTCCCTGAGGCTCTCCCTCACAATCATTATAATCTTCCTTCCTTCCTTCCTTCCTTCCTTCCTTCCTTCCTTCCTTCCTTCCTTCCTTCCTTCCTTCCTTCTTTCCTTCCTTCCTTCCTTCCTTCCTTCCTTCCTTCCTTCCTTCCTTCCTTCCTCCTTCCTTCCTTCCTTCCTTCCTTCCTTCCTTCCTTCCTTCCTTCCTTCCTTCCTTCCTTTTTTCTTTCCTCTTCCTTTTCCTTTCTTCTTCCTTTCCCTCTTTCCTTATTTTTCATTCCTTGCTCTCTTCCCTTCTTCCCTTCTTTTTCTTTCATCTTTCTTTCTCCTTTCCTGTCCCTTCTTGCACGCTCAAAGGAAAGAGGGGAAATATTTCTCCTTTTGTTTTTAGTTTGTTTTGATAGCCCTCTGTCAGTGAAAATGGATGTGCCCCCCCCCCCCCCGAGCTCTGTTTTCACTGGCAGTGGCACTGCGGGCCGGTCCTTTTGTCAGCATTCCAACTAACAAACTCCAACCGAATAAACTCTGAGACAAGCATTTCCTCAAAGCTCCATTTTATTAGAGTTATCATATTGGCACATCTGGGAAAACCCGAATCTGAGAGTTCCGTGTTTTCCCTTCCCAAAAGAAAATCAAAAATCCCTCCCCTGCACTCATCAGTCCATTACATGGTCCAATCAAACATCGTCCCAACTGGAGACCTTCCTCCATATAATCCTATCCAGGTGCAGGGCAACATGTCCTTGACTCTCTGAGAAAGAATGTTGTTGAGTCTAATCTTCTGCCTCTCTCTATGAAATCCTCCCTCCCAAATTCCCAGGCACTAAATGTAGCAGCCTCGAAGCTTCCAAGTAAAATATGGCTTCCAAGGCTGACACCTTTGCTGTTTCCAGGCCGGCTCAGTGGGCCAGGTCTAAGCACCCCACGGGCCGGATCCAGCCCATGGGCCTTGACACCTCTGCTCTAGAAACAGTGCAGTGAAGAGCAACCAAGTTGCCTAGAGGAATGGAGGCTAAAACATACAAAGAACGGTTGCAGGAATTGGTATGTCTAGATGAATGAAAAGAAGGTCTAGGGGGAAACACGATACTGTAGTCATCCGATATTTGAGGGTTCTGTAATCCATGTGCAGATCTTTCTGCCTTGTTCTGTAATACCGAGCATGCATCTTTCCATGGCTCTTTGCACACTCTATCTATCTATCTATCTATCTATCTATCTATCTATCTATCTATCT